GCAGCTCTTTCATCATTATCTGATAATTGACAACTTAATGGGCAAACAGAACATTTAAAAACCTAGATAACACATGAATTGGGTTCTTCAAATAATCTCAGGATTATTTCTCGATGAAAATTCCTTTAATTTAAGATTAAATTTATTTAAAAAATACGGTGAAATCCATGATACGTAATAATTTAAACACATCTCTGAGAATGACGCAATCATTCGGAGGACACTTGATTTTAGATATCATCACAAGTGTCTCGTAATCATTTCCGTTGAAATCACTCATTACTCCTTTGATAATTCCATTTTAATTTATACAAAACGTGTGAGAAATGTTTTATAACTTCTCTCAAGATTGCGCGATATACCTTCAAATATCATTTTAAATAAAAATCGATATCGATTGGTATTGGTATTTAGGAATAAAGTCCATGCTAAATAGTGTCAATCAATAGCTCAGAGATCAGTTGGGAATTCCAAGCGGTTGGGGACTGCATGTTGTACGTCCAAAACACAACCACGAAACCTTTATCGTTTGTCTCCCAGAATGGGTTGAGAAGGGTACATCACTCCAACATTGCCTCATGGCAATTCCCGTATATATGATTTCACGTCGTTCAATAACCCGACCGCAGTGCGAGTAAGACGAGGGATTGAATAAGCGATTTGTATCGATATACGTATGAACTAGAAACTTTCCATGGAATTGCACGAGATGAACGACAAAACATGACGAATCAATAATAAACTGATGAATAATTCTTTCAAACTCGATAAATATCCTCCCCCCACCTCCCACCTAAATTAATTTTAATTGTAAAAACATAATAGATGCACTTCCCGAAATAATTGCATTATTTATTCACTCATTTTTTTTAATGAGAATTTATTGTGACGCACTGCGGCTGAAGTTGATTTTTTTAATTGTAAAAACAATTTCGTGGGAATGAGAATGAGAATTTTTTTATTGTGATGGATTTTCGGATTTTGTATTGTTTAACTGGAGGAGAAAAGCTCTCCCACAACTTAAAATACATCCACCGGAGATTGTGATTCGTATTTTGACGAAGTCTCATTACGTTTATTCAGTCACTGACCCATAACAATTACTTTCATCGTGTGCAGAAGGGGAGAGCTTTTACAAACTGTCCCCGGTATCATTTCAACGGAAATGGAATAAACTTATGTGATCCGGTGATAGAGGGTTCATCCCGGCAGTTCCGAGTGCTGGATGAAAACAAATGATTCAAGTTTACACTTGCAAAAAACAAATCAGTGTCATAAAAAATGATTAATCATTTTTCACTGCAAAACTATCCGGAATTATTCTCTATTGACACAATAAAGGGTAATTATTCTGAGATAAATGGCAAGTACTTGCGATTTTTAACTATTTTTCATTAATCCAGCAATGATCGTTCGTTTAATTAAATTCCTATAAATAGTCCGCCTCATCAATTAAAGTCATCCAACAAATTGAACAGATATTTTATTCAATTATGTTGATGCAATGAGATTGAATTGCACGCACTAATGATAAGCCATTGACAAATTTCATTCGAAAATTTACAGTCTCATGAAATGTAAAACGGGAGCACTTAACGGATACCTAACGGTACCCCAGGAGGCGTCAGGAATGATCGAAATTCCATGGAAAAACGTGCAAACTTTAGGAACAAATTACTCAGAAAATGTCATTGACACATCGAGTGAACAGCAATTGTCAATTGTACAAAAAGTGAACCCCAGCCACATAAACAACTCGATTGTTTTTTTTTTTATAGTCATCATTGACATCTGTCTCATGTACACAGATAAATGGTTTTATAAAACCTCAGCGATGGAGTACGGTCAGACAAATACTCATGCATGCTCAATTATTATTTGAACGGACATTTTTATTAGCACATGAACACGACGCGAATAAAGTTCACCGTTCTCTCCATCAAGTTTTTATGCCTCTGGGGGTTGGAGAACCACATGTTTTACACGTTCCAATCTTTTCGAGATATTTTTCAAAAGGTAAATTTATATAAAAATAATTAAGAAATTATTTGAAGGGAAAATGTCAGAACATCTGAAAAAATTTGTAATAAAATTTGGCCTTTCGTCAGACATTCGAGTTATATATCGAGTTATATTGCGCAATTTTCCCTCTTCTGCATCAATCTCTAAAAATAGTGTCATAATCAATGCGCATGGAATTAAAAAAAAAATTCACGGTCGACGAATACAAGTTTTCCTCGACTCAGAATTATTGACAATGTCTTAACCGTTTTCTAACAGTACCATCGGATTTTTGTCCTTAATGCTGGATGCAATCCGTGCCAAGGTCCTGCCAATATATCCATGGATCCGATTCAATTGCATAATCCAATTGACAGGGGAGAGAAAAAAAATGAAATTCCCTGGAAGGTAAAATTCATCCGAGGATTTAACCTCCAGTGGAATCATTCAATTCAGCTCTCACATGCAGGTGATAATAGTCTATGAAAGCGAGTGGCGAAAGCTGTACTCATCTACCCGGTTCTAATGTACAAAACCATTTCAGTGTTATGTATTTTAACAGCTGACGAAGTGAGACATGACGTATTTAATTTAATACCGAGGAATTATTGTAATTAATGAGGACGATTTAATTGGCAAGCGGTACAACGACCGATTCAATTATTGAAATAGTTCATTGTTCATCAGAAACGAGGAAAACGTATGATTCAATCCCCTAAATCCCTTTAAGCAGATTTAATTAATTCAATTCAATTTTAATGAATTTCAATTAAATTCCAAAGGATTTTGCACTTTTTTATATTTTTATTTATATTTTTGCGGGAAATCAATTATTTTAGGTGGGATGTGGTAAATATGAAAGGATCGCTTCGACAATTGATCGTTGTACTAAAATTCAAGTGAGTAATTATCTCGGCCTGTTAATAATAGTAACTGCTAATAATATCGATCAACATAAAATGGTCAATATCTACTTTGTGGATCGCGTGTATAAAGCGGATTATTATAAATGAGGTACATTGAACCATGGCAGTTTGTATCTTCTAAATGTTACTGGGACGACGAGAAAAGCTAGTGGAATGCTAGTTACGATTTGTCGGCACGACAACGTGTCTACAATAGACGCTTCGCATAACAGGAGAGGAAAAAAATAATCAAAATCTTCCGCCACGATAAGTGGACGATAAAAACATGTGTTTGCGTCGTGACAATTGTCGTTATTTATAAATTATCCGGTTGGGGATTCACTTCTTCCTCTGTTCGTCATGCCTTGACTATTTCAATGGAATAAAAAAATTAATGGAAAAACGGAGAGGAAGGACAAGACTCAAGAATATAGAAATTGTTTTATCATTTTCACCTCCAATTGTCCCAGATACACGTCTTCGTCAATTTTTTTTCTATTATCGTTTGTGGTTACCACTCATTTTACCAACCACAATGTCACGAAGTTCACCGCAATTGTTATTGTCAATTTGTGAATTAGAAATAATGCTTCAATGCTCGGCGAGACAAAAAATATTCCAAAAGTTACAGCACCGAGTTCTAAACTCGGAGTAATTTTGAAAATTCAATGGACCACGAAATGAGGTTCATAAAATTGTGTTCTAAATTTATATTTATGATATTTTTAAAAATAGTTGTTGGTATATGTCTACGTGAAATTTGAGGTCCATCTCTCTTTTCCCCTTCGCTGTGGACATCCTTGCAAATATTATATTTCCGACTATTCCCGTTCTCATTTCCTTCTCCAGCGCGGTAAACTGAGAATAAAATAAATATCCACGTGGAGTAAAAAAACTCTGATATATATGATTTTTTCAGAATCCCCTGAAAATCCGGGGAAAAACAATTCATGAATTCCAAAAATGAATTTCTCAAGTTGCCATTACACTGAACTATCACTAGTACTCGCTGTAATGTCTTTTTACGAGCTTCGTAGAACCATTAAAATCAATCATTAAATATTACCCAATTGTCTATTTACGAAGACAAGTGCGAATAAAAGATCAACTATGAATTCTCTAATTATTCCCTAAATATATCAGAAAAAAGACAATTAAAAATTCTCTATTTTGAATAATAATCGATTATTAATCCCCCCCTCCCCTTCCTAAATTACTAGCCCTCGACTAGTCCATACTTAATTACTCCACAACACCAGAACAGAGCGCAATTATCTCTCAACTGTCAATAATGACTGCAGCTCGTTTAATCACATCATTAAAATAAATAACAAGACATTTAATTTCCTCCGATGTCAAGTATCCATTCGGACTTATAATGAGCGATTGAAAAAATACATCAGTGACGATATCCAAGAGGGAATTGATAATTAAATCATAATCTCACGTGCACTAGGTCCAAACTGTCATACCGTGTAATCAACACGTGCAAATCGACCTCACTTCCCGGATTTGAGTGTCCGTACTCGTATTCCCTTGCAGACAGCTCACTATTTCATCTTAACCCCTTCAACAAGTAGTGGGGATGAAGGCCACAAGATTCTGAGAATGTCATACTTAAAACGAAGCTGTACTTCAGTTTTCCTTTTCCCGCGCAGTCAGCAACAAGTGCCAAACTTTACGATTTGCATTATTTATTTTCCGAAGATAATGACAGTTTTATTATCAGAGAATGAAAATGTGATAATTTTCAATTTATCCACTCACGATTTTCTCAGCGATTGAGTAATATTTTGAAGACATCGCACTCTCTGTTAGTTATTTTGCAATCACTCGGTATTTATTACTCGTAATTGTTTATTTTCATTTGTGATTTTCTAATGGAATTTAATGAGGTTTTAATGATTGGGGTGTTGCAAAAAGGGGACATGAGTAATTTGTGGGGTAATTGTGAATATTTGGCGACAGGGATTCAAGGAAAATTATAAAAATGAAAAGATCGAAGAGCAAGTCGAGATTTAATAAAATCTCCAGAAATTAGCAATCTCACTGAATCTCATAGAATGAAATAATATTTTCTATTTCTACTTTCAGGTTTCCATCGAGAGATACCAAACCAACTGCCAGGTGAGATGTGGAAGCGCGTGCGTTTCCTCATCCTGGCGGCAGTTGTAATCGCTAAGATTCACTTGACCAACAGCCAAAATCCTCGACTCGGTGGTGCCATAAATGTCTTCAGTCGTTACGGCTACCTGAGCATAAGTATGCGAGTTGTACCTCGAAATGAATCAGACAGGTGGATATTTCGTGAGCCAACACTGGACGTCTTCCAAAATCCACCATCCCAGCCCCTCAGACCACGTGGGAAAAGCCCAACAGTATTCGAGGGTGACTTTCACATGGAGTTCTGCGACAATTTGAGACAACTCCTGCAGGCTTACTTCCGTGATTTCTCCTTCGAGAGACTGGACAGACCCTGGAGGGCATTCACAGCTAGTTGGTCAACAGCTGCCATAGCAAGGAATTTTGGCATCAACTCGTCATTCATCACTGGGGACCACTGTTACGTGTTAGTGAGGGTCGCCAGATTCAGGGATACCCAGAAGCTCACCATATCCCCTGAAAATCTCATCCTGGACGAGACTGTCGCCAAGGAGACAGATAATGTCGCCATCAATGACACTGTCAGCGTTATTAAGTTTATTAAAAACTTTGGCTCACACTATATCTCGTCATTCGTCACTGGAAATTCACTCTATCAGGTTTGTCTCTTTCGTTGTCTCCCTCTTTATTACTCTCATAATTGTTCAGACTCTCCGATGGAAGATGAAATCGTGATAATGAAAATTGGATAAGTGACATTAAAGTTTAATAAAGTCGTTGATTCCAGGTATTCGTTTATACACCTTCAGTGTATCAGCTGATCAAAGAACGACTGAAGACACGTGGTGTTGCTGAATTGTCGAGTCTTGAGTTGCGTAATTACTTCTCACCTTGGTACGCTAAGCACATCGGTGCCATACAATCAGCCAGTGGCAATAAATCAGTGGAGGCATGGGCCATTGATCGTCTACGTGTGCAGTACTACGTATTCACGTATCCAAGCCTCTTGAAGCTTCATGGTGATGCCAGTTTGCTCAGGCAGCTCGATGGTTTGCTCGATAATGAGGCACTGCTTCAACTCGAATTGCGCACCTTAGCACCACTCTTCAAGGATTCCGAGAGGCGCCATTGGTTCCTCGAGGCCATCGATAATTACTTCAAATTGTGGGAGGTCAACATGTGATGTGATGGAGTTTATCACTGTGATATGATGGGGGGCTTTCCATGTTTCCCCATACTGTGAGAAACTTCAGTGAATGTGGGAACTCGAGGACTATTACTCTGTGATGATCTCGGTGTCAGACTGAATGCAATTACTGAACTCAAGCTCATTTCTCATTTTTAAGAGAAAAACAAACACCAAGTGCTCATCCCCCTCCCCCCTCCTGCCCCTCGTCATTTCTATTATTTACCAACGAGCGTGTAATCTGTTATTGTTATAAATAAGTATTTATTATATAATCGTTAATAGGAAAACATTTTATACAAACGTTTTATTTGTTATTATTCATATCACAAGCGTTACTTATTCTGTTGAATTTTTATCGAGTGAATTGTGCGTGTTATTGCATTCTCGAATCGATTTTTGACATTTTCACATTTCACTCGTTAATTAATTCTCCTATTTTTTGATTCAATTATTTTTGTTGATAAATAAGTCATGTCTTTCGCTCCTTCTAACAGACGAATAATCCTTTATTTTTTCAAGCCTAACTCGTCAGTTGATTGCCATCTTTTCCGTGGGGCGTAATTGAATAATTTCATTGCTTCGATCCACGAATTTCGAAAGAGTAATTTTATTATTCCATTGCTCAACGTTATTAACTAGAATGTCATCTGCCGGAATTCGACAGTGAAAAGCTAGAACAAGATGAATTAATTTTATTTCATTTGAGATTTGAGGATATTAATTTGTCGATTTCCCGCAAGTTTCAAAATGTCAAGGGGAAATTAGATCTGATGAGAATTCAATTCAATTCATCTTATTCATGAACTGGTCGCAATCACTTTTCAGAGTCCTTGAGACGAACTGCCTTTTAGTAATTATAGATTTTTCTTACAATCGACCAGAGAAACGAAATATTTAGGCAATGGCGGTCGTCAGGATTACCCTGATTAACTCCTTCATTTTTCGTAGTTTCAACAGACGAATTAGCAATTTTTTGGAATATTCCCCGATGGAAATGGAGGAGATTAAAATTGTTGATGCACTTTTGACTTACGAGTTCAGTCGGGTCTCTTGTAGCTCGAAAGTTTAGCGCCTGCCTGCTGATCTCTACCCAACTTTCTACCATTTACGACCAGTAAGACGGGTGTTTCAACGCGTATGGACTTGAAATCAAATTCCTGGGTGAAAAAATTGTGGAAAATTATAAAGGTGTTTGGTTCATGGTGAACAGGGAGAGAGATTAAATGGACTGGTGGAGGTTTACGTACATTTACAGAGAAGGAAAATTGTTGATGGGTCAGAAATGGCTCTGGAATTGCAACTGAGTCTCCGACTGTCACACCCCGACCCTCAGCCAAATTATAAACAGTCACCACCATGCACGTTTTTTCTTCGTCGACCATGCAAAAAGAGCTGCAATACGAGATACGATGTAAATTGAAATATCTCATAAATTATTCAATCAATATCAATATATTATAAGCTGACAAATTGTGGAAGTACTCACAATGGTACAGCGTCTGAATCTTGTATCCAGCACACGACTTTTCCAAAAACCACTTTCTCAATATTAATACCGGGGTTCAAGTCTTTTAGAGGGATCAATTCCAGTTTTATTGATTTATTTCCAGAGGTGTATGAACCCTCTTTGTATGGGCCCAGATGTTTTTTATCCAAGGCCTAAAACAATCGGGAATGACATAAACTATTTATATGTTTTATTACATTTTTTTAAAATGAAGTAGATAGAATGAAAGTCATTAATTCATTATTCTCATTAATTGATGGAACATTGAGAATTAAACTTTACCTGAATCATTTGATACAGTCTTTTAGGCTTTAATCTTCCTTTGCTGTTGATTAAATTTTGTACATCCTTAAGGTACTTGAGTAATTCATCAAATTTTGTTCTTGGCACTTCCCAGGTGGGATCGAGCAACATTGCACGCTTGAATGCCTCTAGTGCTAATTTATATTCCTCCTGGTACTTCAATGCCTGTCAAATAGATAAGATCATATATTCAATCACGAAATCTCCAGAGAAAAAATTTCTTTGCGAAGCAATTTATACGGTCGGGATGTAAACACGTCGAACTCGCACTGATCAGGTACTTATATAGAGCCCCCACTTGGCGTCACGATTCCAAGAATTTTAAAGGGAAAAATAATATTTTCACAATTTCGATAGCGATAGAAGGTAGCGCAAGAGTAAATAGATTTTTACCGTAGCTTTGTTGAAAAATAGATACGGTTTGCTTTTGGCCACGACATCTTTCTCCTATAATAAGAACAAAATTACATAAATAATATTAAAAAATCAATCGTGCATATTTTAAAAAATATAGAGAAAACTCACTGCTTGGGCATAGGCAGACATACAAAGCCTGAGAGTCGCAGGATTTTGGGCAATAGTGAAGAAAGAAGCCAAATATGCATTCCCAAGGATTGTCCAGGATGTGCCATCATTTGTATCCATACCAACAGCTTCCTTTGCATACTCCACCCCCAACTTGATATTTTCAATTTTCTGCTTCTGGTCGTTAGTCGACTCCTGCCTCAACACCATTGATAAATTTCTCAAAGATGTTTTGTTCCTTCCCTAGGATTTAAGTAATAAATATTTTCCCAATACTCTGAACCATTTTTTTTATATTAGATATTAATCAAATATCTCGAGATAAATAATTACATGAGGCAATGCTCCCACGAAGCAATTCTTCGCCTGTTTAATATCGTCATTTTTCCAATAACATTCTCCAAGCTCGTTCCATGCATCAATCAACTTGGGTTCCAGCTTAACAGCTTTGCTGAGTAACTCTTCAGCTTGAGGGACGAATCTATCGACAACATTGAAGGCTTTTCCCTTGAGATAATAGTATTTCGCCCTGCAGCCATCGATTTCGTAACCCTTGAACTCATCGAATCTACCTAGTGTCTCTTTCATCTCTCGCTCAATGTCATTGTTTTTATTAATAGCATCTTCAATCGAGTGATTCTCGAAATAGTGATCACGAAAGTGGTATAGCAACTCGACTTTCTCCTGCGAAAATATTCGAGTGTTCATCTAACTGTTGATGAGGGAAACAATAAAATCAGATGGTGAAATTTTCAGGACTCACGGTGAGAGCGACGATAGGATCTTCCTTGACTTCACTGGAACTCTTCGCTCCAGCGACGACCTTATCGTCGATAATCGCCGACATTTTTATAAACTATCAGTAACAATCACCGAACTGTGTTCGTTGAGGCCCGCATCAACTTCCTCGCATCCATGAACAACAATTCTCATGAACAAATGGATAAATTCAGCATAATGCAGTATCAAACAACTGGCGAATCGGTGAAAAGTGGGGTTATGACTCCTGTCATTATATCCAATGCTTCTCAAACTTACGAGTTCACAACGAGCGATAACTAGAATAATAACTGAAGTTGAAGTTAGATCTTGCATTCTGGATACAATTACGAAAAATTCCCCCTTCCTTCAAAATAAAAAATAAATAATACCGTCAATTATCTAAATAACCACCCTCTTCCAAATAATATATAAAAATTTATCTCCCATAATTTTTTACCAATTTTTTTTCTTCAGGTCAATAATTAAAGAATAATTATTATTATGTCCAGGAGAATAATTTTCAAATTTTACATGGACAGTGTATATTTTTTAATTACTTTTGAAATCCATCGGATAAATAAAAAATCAAAATATGGCGCCATTGCGGGACGGGCCACCTGGCGGACGGATCGGCTGACGAATCAGCCGTTAGATGTCACCAGGGTGTATCTGTCAAGGCGTTGACCCTGGCTAGTTGCTGCGTGAATTCTCAGCTGGGCTCGCAGTCCGTGGCCGAGGCTTCCCCAGAATACTACATTGGGACACTCCGGGGAATAAAACGCCATTTTATGTGTTTGGCTCTGACACTGGTTACAAGGTAGTGCGTGGAGTGGCTATTGTGATTATTATTATTTTTTTTTACACACGGCATTCATATACGTGCATTATCATCTCGAAAATGTTGCTCAAGTACTTTGTGCCCGACATGTACAAGTAACGTCGGGCCAAACTGAGTCAACTGTGAGATATATATCTATATATATATAGAAAAAGGGAGAGCCGTGGGGAAAGAGGAAAGCAGAGGAATTATCACGACAGAAAGGAGAAAAGGAAAATCTTGATATATTGGAGGTGGGAGGCAACTGCCACGAGATTTAACGACGTAAAGGAGTAAAATGGTGTTTTGTGATTTTAGTGCGTGAATTGTTATATACCCTCATTCATATGTTCATTATCTGAGAGATCGATAAATCGAGAGGGTTGTGCTTTTGTTCTGTTTCGTTTGGTTCTGTTATGTTTGTAAATGTCAATTGAGGATTTATAGTGAGTGCTGGAGTTCTCCATTTTCATTTTGGCATTTTGTGATTTGAGATTTGGGGATTTATTTTGGAGTTATTGGTACGGTGAGAGCTGAGACATCCTCTGTTGTGATTATTATTTTTTTTTCTCGTCGAGGGAGTTGAAGGGAGGATTAATTAATATCCTCATCGTTGGATTGGTGATTTGGCAATTACGAGCAGCCTCTGGATTCCTCGTAGTTCGTACAACTAGTTACGATGAGTTCGAGAAATATACCGTCGGATAAGGTGAGTACAATATTATTTATTTATTCACTGGGGTGATTGGGGCAGTTGTCGAGATGAGAGGAAAATCAGAGGAGCTTGTGGGTCACACGATTTTTTCAAGCATTTATGAGATAATGTGGAAATTATTTCGTGGTATATCGAGAGCCATTGAGGGGTAGAAATAATGGAAAAAGTTTTGGACTCATATCCATTCATCTCACGACCCCTCAATTTTTCGTACCGAATTTTTGGGAGATAATAAAATCGATACATGTTTATTCTTCACCGGAATCACAGGGATTTCGGAGAAAAATTATACGGGACTTTAGGATTAATTCTGGGTTACAGATGTGTGTTGTATTTTCTTTGAATTTACCATTTCGAAGAAATACTGAAAAAATTGTAAAGACGTGCCCTGAGGGCTGGAAACTCCTCCCCAAAAGAATACAAAAGAGGGTCGGGAATGGAAGGGAGAAATATCAGGAGAACCTAGTTTTTTTTTTTTCAACATTTTCCCTCGACTCTTGATGCACACTTTATCAGTTCTCCTCTGGCAGCATCTTTGCCCCCTCTGGCCTTTCCATTTTGCCGAAAAAAAAAAAACCCTCGCAAAATGTGTATCCAAGTACCCAGAATTTCCTGACCCACTTTCGGCACCAAGGGGTCTTCTCTCGGATAGTATTCCACGTACTTGGCCAACTGTCACATTCAATTATGCTAATTTTTTTCAACAGTGGGAATAATAGGTGTGGGATTTTGAGAGAGACTCATTGAGAAATCATCAGAAGGTCGTAATTAGAAATCGTTTCGAGGCTCATTACCTTTCTAATGATTAGAGTGCTCTTGTGCTAGTAATTTGAATGTTTTTCACTGGACGAGTATTAGCTAGAGAAAAAGAGGCCCAAATTCTTCCCATCATTTTATGGGATTTTAATGATATTAGCGAATTAATAATTAAATGTGAAAGTGCTTGGAATTTGGTGATGTAGTCATACATGATGATTCTTGTTGGATGTTTATTTCGAAAACTTGTTCTACAGCTTAGAAAAAAATCCAACAGGAAATTCTTTTGACATTTCCCCCTAAGTGTGAAAAGGTGACATGTTTATTCGCGTTGTTCATTCACGCATTCTCACTCAAAAAATTATCTCTTCAACTGATCGTATTTACTCATCATTCATCACAGAGCAAATACGCTCAGACGTCAATAAAGAATATTTTGAGTCGAAAATCTCTATAAACCCGACGATAATACACCCTTCCTCATTTAGAATTATTCCAAGTCACTTGATCATTAAATTTCATGATAAAAATGCAATAAAACCCGAGTAATCACAATACTACCTGACAATTGTATAACGACAAGTCACGGTATCTCTCTCTTCCCATTAAATCATTGATTCATCCATTTTAATCCCACACTTTGAGTCACTCCGTCAATGACGTACCTCCAATTAAACCCAACTCGAGTCTTCGCTAAAAATGGTAACAAACACCATTGACAAAGCGGATAAAAATCCTTGATACCCACTCGAGATGCTGTGACAACACCAGCAAAATGCTCCATCCTCACTTTTTTTTTATGGAAAAATATATCCTCACCTTCAACACGCAAAAATTGAAATAATCTTCCATTATTGCTCTCGATCAACTATCGATCTTTATGACTGGCGTAATCCAAAATAAAAGAAGAACTCTTTCCGCGAGAAAAATCAGTAATAAAGAGGGCAAAAGAGGTAAAATAGAGTGGAGAGAAAAAGTTTCGGACCGGTGTGAGACTTCATCAAATTCTTTTGTGCTGGCTCGTGGTTATAACGACGTTCCTGGTCCTGGATGACGTTAAAGAGTTTACCGATAAAAAGAGAAAACAGTAGAGAGAAAAAAAAAATAAGGATGCAATGAAAAAAAGTAGATCTTGAACAAAGGGGCGATGAATCATTGTCACTGGATTTTTTTTCACTCTCTCTCTCACACTCGGTCTCTCTCTTTTTTCTTCCTGTGCAATAAATATAAATTGTTTTCGCTGTTTAACGCGCTTCTGTGCATTCTGTGACGTCACACACCACTCTCGTAACTTTCATCTCGGGGATCTCGGAGAACTGGGAAGTTATACCAGGGGTTTTCGGTGTGATACTGAGTTTCCACCTTTCTCCCGTTTCAAAAGAGACTAAATTGCCAGTGGGTTTTTCAACTCGTGTCGGTCAGCGAGCCGCAACGAGGAGAAAGAGACTTCTCACCTCAGGGAACAATGCAAAAGAAAAGGAATAATGAAATACTGGGGAAACATTAGAATTGGGTGACAATGAGTGGAATTATTAGATGGAAGGCTAATGGTCTCGAGGTTTCTCCTTGGGTCAATGCCATGTTTTTTTATTCGCCGGAGGAAATAGACAACGACCTAATGACTTCACAGAGAAAAAACGAAAATACGAGAATTCAATTTAACTGAGATCAATACTTGGTCGTCAGTGACAAAATTTTTTCGAAAAAATTGTCTCGATTGATTGGAAAATAGAAATGATATGAAATTTATTGCCGTTCTTTGCATTTCCACTCTATGATTCCGTTGAATCAGCGACAGACTCTCGTACACAAATGAGAAAGAAGTTAACAAAAACGAGAAACAATGGTAATAAAACAACAGCACGCAACTGCCACCTGTTAAAACCACTGTTTCTTTTTCACCAACCGCAAATTGCATACGATACGTACAAAATATGACGGCAACATGTGTGTTACCTATCCATCGATCCAACCGTATAAAACCACGTCGACTTTTGTTCGTTGCACCCTCTTTATGTTCATTTGAATTTTTTATCCGTAGAAGAACGAGAAATTACACAGAAAGGGTGGACGTTAAATAATGTCCCGAGGATTTGGGATAGAAGGTACAACTAGGTCATACCCACCAATTAAATAAATTCATGAAACCGTCTATATATTTTCATCTTCACCATCAAAAAGAGAATTGATGCTCAAATGAATGGAATATAGTCAACAGTCCATGAAATTTCATTTTTTTTTCCAACAGTCATTTCACATTTTTCATAAAAGTCACATTTTTCAGAATGTGACGTAAATTTTCAATTATCCAATGCAATTAATCTCGAGAGAACTCTGCATGTCACGGAAGAAAGAGCTGATAGATAAAAAAAAATGTGAAACAATGGAAATTGAGAGAAAATGACGATAAATAAGGGGAGAGTATAGAATGAAAAGAAATTAAGACTTGATTTCGTTGGGAAATAAATAGCCCCATGGGAAGAATCGAGTTGAAGAAATGGAAGTGGGGTTTGGGTGGGCCAACGAAAAACAATAAGATTAGAGTAGCAATTCCTTAGAGAGTTGCAAAGCGGGTGAGGAGAGACTGCTGATGAAAGAAAACGTTTCAATGGCTAAAGAGAAAAAAAAATGTTTGGTCGAGTTTGCGCCGAGTTTTCAATTAAGAGACGCAACACATACATATACACAGAGCTTACCTCCCCCAAAAAAAATAAATGCCGAGAAGGAAAAACGAACAGGAGGAATTGAATGGGGGATGAAGTCTGGAGAAAACTCCGAGACTAGTTTCATTACAATTAATTGTGCAAATTGAAATGCACGACTGCTAAATGTGCGTTCGGTCAAGGAAACGGGGATTATATATTTTTTCAACTTTTCGTTCTCAATGTAAATCACATTTACGTACGTGATACTGGAAAATTATTTCAACTTTCCTCTTCAGCCCCAGTTTTCCACTCTTTTTGGTTTTTCAATATTTTCTCGTCTTGTTTTTCTTTTTGTTTGGAGTTTTCAACGTGAAGTTTGGAGTTTCCGTTGCACGACAGATGTTATAATCCTCCTTTTCTTCGTACCCATAACAACTAAGAGACTTCAAACTCCACCTTCTTCATCTTCCATAAGATTCTCTCTTTTCTATCTTCCTCTCTACTTTCGACGAAAGAAAAAAGTACTCGTGGCACATACACCGTTATCCATGACTCCTTACAAACGAGGGGTTCTATATTTAGTGCTCATCGTTTCTTATAATATCTCTTCAGATTTTTTTTTCTTCGTATTCTCTTCCTGTCCACTTTACTACACCGAAATTGCCATTGAGATCGTTGTGTTACTGAGGCTTATGTGCACTATTTTTTTATGCTGTGCACTGTTGGCAAATTACACTTGAAGTTTCAACTAGAAAAAGTTCAAATTGTTTAAAATTTTGCGAATTCATTCTGTTCCTTAATATTTGGGTAGTTCTTCAGCTTCAGGTCGATATGACCTGAATCTAGGTTTTCTTTTCCATCGAGTGAAATTAAATGTCTCTCCGAGAACTCTGAGCAATTCCGGGATTTTAAAGATGTGGAGACAAGTATTTATCCATTTATTTAAATTTTCAATGAAAATTTTGGTGGAGATGTGGAAATTTAGAGGGAGTGGAAGTCCGAGGGGAAAAAATGCCGTGTGGTCAGTCCTTTTTCTTCGACATCTGGACAGCAGTTAAGTCCTGGATCCTTCTGCCTCCTGCTTTTTTTTTATTTGAACCTCGGAATATCCACTTTTGTTGTTCCCCCGTCGTGTTGCGATCAATATCAGATACAAGGGGTTCACGGATGGCTTCACCGACTCCATCAGAAAATCCGAAAAAGAAAAATCGTTGCTCCAGATCGTTAAGTTGTTTTTCCCCGGACAGCCCCTTTTTCAGGCTGACCCCTGACCCCGATATACTTTCTAGTTTACACGATATACCGAACGATCTCCATTAATTCATAATGAAATTCGACAATTGTTTTTAAATATTAATCTTTAGATACTGTCATCATAAAATATCCATCTCATTCGAAAATTCCTGGCGTTTCCTATTTGAAATTCTCCCATTTCTTGGATCACCCTTCCATCAACATTTAATATTTCTACTCTCTGAAACCCAAAACCCCATTCCCTCATTCTTAATTGAATGTCACGTTATAAGGAATAGAAAAACATGTTGCCAGAACTATTCCTCGCTCTCGTGTATAAATAACTTTAGAATCTACAGA